TAATTTAAAAATACTTTATTGCTGAAAAAGTCTTATCATCATCTGAGCCTTTAGCAAGTCATGATTTTTTTGCTGGTGGAAGGTCTTGCCTTGATTTTTGCTGTCTTCTAACTGATCGGTTGCTGAAGGTCAGGGTGGCTGTGGCAATTTCCTAAAATGATATAACAGTGAAGGTTACCACATAAATTGACCCTTTCTTTTTTCCTTTTTATTGAATTTATTGGCACTGGTTAACAAAATTAAACAGGTTTCAGGTGCACAATTCTATAATACTTCATCTGTACACTGTATTCTGTGTGCACTGCTCCAGACTCTTCCATTCACAAACAATTTCTATTGCATGTGATGTTGTTTGGTAGGATTTCACCCACAGTAGAACTTCTTTCAAAATTGGAGTCAATTCTGTCAGATTCTGCCACTGCTTTGTCAACTAAGTGTGTGTAATCTTCTAAATCCTTTGTTGTCATTTTAACAATTTTCATTGCATCTTCACCAGAAGTAGATTCTATCTAAAAAAAAACAAAACTTCCTTGCTCATTCATAAGAAGCAACTTTTTATCCATTAAAGTTTTATCATGAGATTGTAGCAATCCAGTCACATTTTCAGGCTCCACTTCTAATTCTAGTTCTCTTGGTATTTCTACCACATCTGCCGTTACTTACTTCACTGAAGTCTTTAACTTACTAAAGTCATCCATGAGGATTGGAATTAACTTCTTCCAAATTCCTATTCATATTGATAATTTGACCTTTTCCCATGAATCACAAATATGCTTAATAACATCTAGAAGGGTGAGTCCTTTCTGGGTTTTTTATTTATTTTGCCCAGATCCATTAGAGAAATTAGTATCTATGGTAACTATAGCATTATGAAATGCATTTCTCAATAACACTTGAAAGTAGAAATTACTTCTTTATCCAGGGGCTACAGAGTGGTTGTTCTGTTAGCAGTCATGAAAACAACATTAATCTCATTGTACATCTCCATCATGCTCTTGGATAACCAGCTGCATTGTCAATGAACACTAACATTTTCAAAGGAAACTTTTCTCAGCAGTAGGTCTCAATGGTGGGCTTAAATATTCAATAAAGCATATTACAAGGAGATGTGCTATCATCATAGTTTTGTTCCATTTATAGAGCACAGAAAGAAGTAGATTTAGTATAATTCCTATAGGCCCTAGGATTTTTTGGAATGAAAAATGAGCATTGGCTTCAACTTAAAGTCATCTGCTGTGTTAGCACTGAATGAGGGAGTCAGCCTGCCCTTTGAAGCTTTGAAGCCAGCCATTGACTTCTCCTCTCTACCTATGAAAATCCTAGAAGGAATCTTTGGTTATAAAGCTGTCTCATCTACATTGAAAATCTGTTGTTTGGTGTAGCCACCTTCTTTAATTATCTTAGCTAGATCTTCTGGATAACTTGGTAAAGCTTCTACAACAGCACTTGCTGCCTCACCTTGCACTTCTGTGTTATGAAGACTTTTTTCCTTAAACCAGATGACAAACATTAGTTAGCTTCAAACTTTTCTTCTGCAGCTTGTTCACCTTTCTTGGCTTTTATAGAACTGAAGAGAATTAGAGGCTTGCTCTGCATTAGGCTTTGGCTTAAATGAATGATGTGACTGGTTTGATCTTTTACCCAGACCACTAAAACTTTCTCCATTTCAACAATAAGGCTGTTTCACTTTCTTATCATTTGTATGTTCACTGGAGCAGCACTTTCTTTTTCCATCAAAAACTTTTCCTTTGGCCCTGGCTGGTGTGGCTCAGTGGATTGAGCACCAGCCTGTGAGCCAAGACTTCCCAGTACAGGTCCCCAGTAGGGGGTGCACGAGAGGCAACCACACACTGATGTTTCCCTCCCTCTCTTTCTCCCTTCTCCTCTAAAAATAAATAAATAAAATCTTTAAAAAAACACAACTTTATCCTTGCATTCACAATTTGGCTAATTGTAAAGTGCAAGAAGCCTAGCTTCAGCTTAACTCAGCTTCCTACATGCCTTCCTCACTAAGCTTAATCATTTCTAGCTTTTTTTAAATGTAATTTTTAAAAATATTTTATTCATTTCTTTTTTTAGAGAGGGAAGGGAGGGAGAGAGAGAGAGAGGGAGAGAGAGAAACGTCAATGTGCAGTTGCTGGGGGTCATGGCCTGCAACCCAGGCATGTGCCCTGACTGGGAATCGAACCTGCGACACTTTAGTTCACAGCCCTCACTCAATCCACTGAGCTACACCAGCCAGGGCTAAGTTTTGTTTTGTATGTACCACACATGAGATCATATTGTATTTGTCCTTCTCTGACTTGCACTTAGTATAATGCCCTCAAAGTCAATCCATTTGGTCACAAATGACAAACTTTTCTTCTTTTTATGACTGAATAATATTCTACCTTATATATATACACACCCCATTTTTGGTATCCTTTTATTCATTGATAGGCACTTAGGTCATTTCCATGACTTGGCTATTGTAAGTAATGCTGCAATGTAGATGGTGGTACACATATGTTTTTCAGTTAATGTTTTCTTTCTTTCTTATTTTATACAAATACCCAAAAGTGGAATTGCTGGATCAGAAAGGGGTCACAGAGAAAGAATGCACTTAAGCTGTTTAAAGAACCTTAAAAAGCATTAGAAATTATTATTTATAGTGAATGAATGTAGCCATTTAATTTACAGATGGCAATTTGCAGTATAACAATCCATCTTTATATATATCTGTCACTAATCATCAGAGAAATGCAAAGTAAAACCACAAAGAGATACCATCTCACACCTGTCAGCATAGCTGTCATCAGTAAATCGACAACCAGCAAGTGCTGGCGGGGATGTGAATAAAGGGAACACTTGTGCACTGTTGGTGGGAATACAAAAGGTGTAGCCACTGTGGAAAACAGTATGGAGTTATCTCAAAAAATTATAAATAGAACTGCCTTATCACCCAGTGATTCTATGTCTGGGAATATGTATGAAGAAACCTGAAACACTAATTCAAAAGAATATACATGTATGTAGCCCTGTGTTCATTGCAGCATTATTACAATAGCCAAAATTTGAAAGCAGCCCAAGTGCCCATCGGTAGACGAGTGGATCAAAAAGTTACAATAGTACAAAAGTTACAATTGAATACCATGCAGCTGTTTAAAAAGAAGGAAATCTTACCTTTTGTGACAGCATGGATGGACCTGGTTAGTACTATACTAGGCGAAATAAGCCAGTCAGATAAAAATAAGTACCAGGTGATTTCACTTATCCGTGGAATCTGATCAACAAAAACTAACAAACAAATAGAAACAGACTCATAAATACAGATAACAGACTGACAGAGCTGTCAGAGGGGAGAGCAGTTTGGGGACCGGGTGAAAAAGATGCAAAGATTAAGCAAAAAAAAAAAAAAAAAACAAAACCCTTATTGACACAGCCAACAATATGGTGATTACTAGAAGGACAGGCAGGTGGAGGAGGTAAAAAAGGGTAATGTGGGGATGGGTGGTGATGGAAGACGACTTGACTTAGGGTAGTGAACACACAATGTACTATACATACAATATATTATAGAATTGTATACCTGAAACCTACATAATTTGATTAAGCAATATCACCCCCTTAGATTCAATTAAAAAATGAAGTACTTATATTAGATTAAAAAAAATACTATGGATTCCCCTGTTAATAGGGTCTTTCTTTTGTATCTAATTGTCAGAAAGAAAATGTCTACTACTTTATCCATACTCACCTTGTCCACTTCTGCTTCCCACACATAACTAATATACTTTATGTTATCCCAAAACTCAGGTTTCACTCTTTCCAGCCCTTACCTCCTTTAATAATTTATGCCAAATATCAACTGAGTTATACTTTCAATACAAAGATTTATTCTGCTCCTGTTAAGAAATTTGGCACCCTGCAACTGAGATCTTCAATAAATTTGAGAACTTATAACAGCCAGTCATCATCTTATTCTTGGTGGAAAAGCTCCTTTAAAATATAAAATGAAGTAAATCTCATATTGCCATGACATTTTAAAAATGTCATATATTGTGAGAAATATTTAGAACTTAAAAGGATGCACATACAGTTTTAAAATATTTTTAAATGAAAAATTTTGTCTATAATGTCCCATAAATTGACAGGGATTTTGGAGTATATGTTAAACAGATATTTCCTCAACCCAGTTAACAAGCAACATTAGTCTACACCAGCGATTTTTAACTTTTCACCTCATGGCATGCATAAACATTACTAAAATCCTGTGGCATGCCAAAAAATATTTTTTTGCAATCTGACATAAATAGGTATAATTTTGACTGATTTACAAAAAAATTAAAATAATAGTAATTACCTACCCTTTTCACTTCAAAGTGACTTTTTAAAAAATCAGGTGCCTATATTTTTTTTGTAAGAATGTCTGGTATCAAGAATTAACCAATAGCATGCAACTTTATTATGTAACGTGACCAGTTAGATGCAAATCTTTTATGTGACCTACATATTTATGGTTCAAGACAAGGCATTCACACTGGATGGCTATTGTTGGGTTGGCTGTTGTCGTTTTTTTTATTTGGCAATCTAAGGCACAGGTGGCAAACACAAGGCCCTTGGGCCAAATCTGGCCCTCCACCTGGTTTTATCCTGTCCAGCACCTTGTTTCTACCCAGCGGCAATGCCGGACTCTCACTTAACTGTTAAGGAGTAATTACATTTATACAGTCCTAAAATTACATTTGGCCCTTTGAAGGCAACCGAGAGGCTGATGTGGCCCCCTGTGAAAATGAGTTTGACACCCTTGATCTAAGGGAAAAGAGGTCAGTGCCCTTGACTAAGTAGCCCAGTATTGCAGGTTTTAAAAATTGTTGTGGCATACCAGTTGCAAATCCGTGGTCTACACTATGTATCATTAGATAAGACAGGCTATTTACAGGATATTTGATAAAATAGAATTCATCATTTAGATGTATATACCTATGTCTATGTGTACATATAGATTTTTTGTATTTCAGGAGTTTTACATGTTATGATATGGTGTGCAGTCTGGTCACTCTCAGGCCCTGTTTTCTTTGGTGGAAATTTATTTGGACTATTAATTACCTTTTATTGCTCCATAATGGGGGGCAAACTTTTGGAACTCATTAGAATACCATCAGTGCCTCAACTTCCACCTCTTCTTGGTAAGGGTATAATTACCTCTAATTTCTTTTTTATTCACTTATATGTAAATTATGCATGTATTCTAGTCAAAGTAAGTATAATTTAGAAATGTTTTAATGTAATATTATTTATATAGCTTCTTTATATGTGTATGTACCATATGTGTGTGTATATAGCTTGTTTATAGAAATATTTATTCTCTCTATATATATATCTCCAGAGATTTTTTCTAAAATATTTTTAAATAATTTAAATATATTCAATATATGATTCTCGTTGCTATATCATTTAATAGAACATTTTTACTTAATTTTAAATGTATTATAGAAAAGGAAAATGTTGGAAAAGACTGAATTTTTCTGTAGATAACCTAACTCATATACAATTACAAGATTCAAATATTATAGTATCTGAGGCACCAAAAAGTCTCACAGTTTTTGACTAAGCTGTTTGGGCATCTTCACTATGTGTATTCATAGATATATCATCTGCCTAACAAATGTCATACCCTATTCTCCATCCCATTACATAACTAACTCTCCAGGTAGACAGAGGAAAATACATGGAAGAAGTTCTATCAGAGGTGTCCCATGTCTTCTACATATTCAATATATCCAAATGTTCTGTAGAATGTCAATAAAAATAATCTCTCCATTTTATCTCTAATACCCTTTCTATGTCCATAACACTCGTTCAGCACTTTTTAAGTATTCATTGAATCTCTTCCCCTCTTCTTCAAAGCTTTCACTCTTGCTCTAGCTTAAGCTATTTGTTTCCAGCTATATCATGGCTTTTTAAAAAATATATATTTTATTGATTATGCTATTACAGTTGTCCCATTACCCCCTTCATTCCCTCCATCCTGCATACCCTCTCCCACCCATATTCCCCCCTTTAGTTCATGTCCATGTGTCATAAGTTTTTTAGCTTCTACATTTCCCATACTATTCTTGCACTCTCCCTGTCTATTTTCTACCTACCATCTATGCTACTTATTCTCTGTAACTTTTCCCCCTCTCTCCTCCTCCCACTCTCCTGTTGATAACCCTCCATGTGATCTCCATTTCTGTGGTCCTGTTCCTGTTCTAGTTGTTTGCTTACTTTCTTTTTGTTTTTGTTTTAGGTGTGGTTGTTAATAATTGTGAGTTTGCTGTCATTTCACTATACATGTTTTTATCTTCTTTTTCTTAGATAAGTCCCATTAACATTTTATATGATAAGGGCTTGGTGATGATGAACTCCTTTAACTTGACCTTATCTGAGAAGCACTTTATCTGCCCTTCCATTCTAAATGAAAGCTTTGCTGGATAGAACAATCTTGGATGTAGATGCTTGCCTTTCATGACTTGGAATACTTCTTTGCAGCCCTTCTTTGCCTGTAAGGTCTCTTTTGAGAAATCAGCTGACAGTCTGATGGGAACTCCTTTGTAGGTAACTGCCTCCTTTTCTCTTGCTGATTCTAGAATTCTCTCCTTCATTTTAATCTTGGCTAATGTAATTACAATGTTCCTTGGTATGTTCCTTCTTGTGTCCAACTTCTTTGGGACTCTCTGAGTTTCCTGGACTTCCTGGAAGTCTATTTCCTTTGCCAGATTGGGGAAGTTCTCCTTTATTATTTGTTCAAATAACTTTTCCACTTGTTGCTCTTCCTCTTCTCCTTCTGGTACCCCTATAATTTGGATGTTGGAACGTTTAAAGATGTCCAGGAGGTTCCTAAGCCTCTCCTCATTTTTTTGAATTCTTGTTTCTTCCTTCTTTTCTAATTGTATGTTTTTTTCTTCATTCTGGTCCACTCCATTGATGTGAGACCCAGCTTTCATTCCATCACTATTGGTTCCCTGTGGATTTTTCTTCATTTCACTTATTGTAGTCTTCATTTTTTCATCTAATTTGTGACCAAAATCAACCAATTCTGTGAGCATCCTGATCACCAGTGCTTTGAACTGTGCATCTCATAAGTTGGCTATCTCTCAGTTGCTTAAAAGTACTGATTGTGAGGCTTTCAATTCTGTTTGAACCATTGTTTTTTTTCTTTGGTGTGGTCACACCTGTTATGTCTGAGGGGCAGAGCCTTAGGTGTTCACAAGGGTGGGGCACCCCAGTTGCTGGGTTGTGATGTTATACGTGGGGGCAGGGACTGAGAGGGAATAATGGTGCTTGCTCCGCTCTGCCAATTTCAGTCCCTTCTACAGCTTCCCTGGAGCAAACTGGGCCCCTCTGGTGCCAATTCCCATGTGGGTGGGCTTGTGCACCCCCTGGGACTTTCCAACGACCTCTCCTGTGAGGCTGGGAGTCTCTCCCTGTGCCTCAACCCCCACAGGTATTTTCAATCAGTGTCCCAAGGCTCTATTTCCCAGCACTGTGATCCTGGTTTATGCAGTGTCTTGCTTCACAATCGCTGCCTCGCTGGGTCTGCTGGTGCCACCCCTCAGCCAGGGTCTGCCAGCTGCTGCTGCACTCTTGCGCACCCTGGATGCCTTACGTGCCTGGTCCCAATGCTGTCTGCTCTCTGAGCCATGACCAGCACCAGGCTGCCCAACTCCACCCCTCCTACCAGTCTGGATGAATAGGCCTATTTTAACTTCTTGGTTGTCCGATTTCCATAGAGTTCAATTCTCTGTCAGTTCTGGTTGTTATTCTGTTTCTAAATTGTTGTTGTCCCTATCTTGGTTGTGCAAGGAGGCACAGTGTGTCTACCTATGCCTCCATCTTGGCAGGAAGTCAGACTATGGCTTTTAACTGGCCTCTCCTCCAATTTTATGCCTATCTAATTCACCAAGGTCATTACATTGCAAGGTAAATGCGAGAGAAAATGCGAGGCTCATTATCTCTCACTTCCTGCTTAAAACTTTCCCATCATGCCTTGCTCTGCTAAAGCAGGTTACTGTGGAATTGGGTTAGCTATTCACAATATGATGCCTCCTGCCCATTCTCCTACTCCCATCCTTGCCCTTTCTTTATGTTTGAGCATCACTGGATTACTAGTTGTTTCCCATTGAGATATATCATTTTTTGTCTCCACTTTTTTATGCTGTCTCCTCTGCTTGTGTGTGTAACTTGCCCTTCACCAATGTAATGAAAAATATAGTTTGTTTGAAGAGGGGAAATTAAACATTTCTGTTTTCTCTCTTAGAATAAAGTAAACTGAATCAGACTTTATTTATTGGTTTGTTTATTTATTTATTTTTGAAGGGATGTTACTGGCTGGTTTTACCATCAGGAATGTTCCATTGCTCAGTAAGTTTGTCCAAATTAGTAACATGTGGTCTTCAACTTTAAGAAATTCTGCCCTTACCCTTATCCTAGTAAAAGCTGGACTTGGACTCGATCCACAGGTAAATTTCTAATTATACTGTGAGTAAAGTTACTTTAAATATTAGAGGCTGGTAAAATGAAAAGGAGGAAGAATTTTTGTTGTGGCTGTTTCAAGGAGTGTCTGTAAATAAAACTAAAGTAAAAAACAAAAATTTGCACAAGTGTTGACACCTTAATTTCTACTTCTTGTCTTCATTATTACTGATATGAAGAGAAATCACTGGGATGTAAGATCTCCATTAAAAATAGCCTTTAATTGTTTGCATAGAGATCAATGACCCTTGTGCAGCATTTGTAAGTACTATTTGGGAGTCTCTTCTATGGAGAACTACTTGCTTTTCAGTTAACAAAGGACAAGGTTACCCCATAAAAGGATTCACTTCCATTTTGTTTTATTTTTTCAGAGAGATTAAGAATTTCAATAATATTTTTTATTTATGTCTTTGTTCCTGATTATCTTTGCATTCTTGTAAAAGCTAATGAATTATAAATCTATTTGGATTTTTTAAAAAGTTGCATAACAGCTTCTCAAATAGATGTTGCAAATGTATGTTTAGTGGTATAATATATCAGTAGCATAAATAATTATAGACAGTGATAATTTATTATATTCTCCAGTAGAAAATTTGAACCCATGAAAAAATTTAGAAGTTCCCCCTTTTAGCTAATTATGCAATTTTAACTGATTTTTTCCTTTTTCTGGTTAATATTTTCTATTTATAATTATTAAGTTACTCAAACAGTTCATCTCTGAAAGTTAACTGATGGATATAAAGCTGTACTTCCATTATGCTATTTATAAGGAAGATCAAGGAGGGTAGATCTAGTTATGTAATCACAAAGAAACAAATCCTTATTAACGATTAAAATATAACAATGTTTTATAAAACATGCAATAGTTTACCACCCAATCTATGATGACACATAAAATGATCTGTATTAGCACATCAGGTCCAATGGGATAATCAGGAAGATTTAGTTTAGTAAACAACTATATATTTTAATATTTCCTTAAATAATTTTCTTGCTGGCCATGATAATGTTCTTCAAATATGACTGTTTATATTTCAGGCTCTGCGGCATTTGAGGAGAGTTTGTTTAAGACTGTCTATGGGTCCATGCCTCATGGAAGCATGTTCAACTGCTGTCATTTCCCACTTCCTTATGAAGTTTCCCTGGCAATGGGGATTTCTATTAGGGTAACTTTTCCTCATTTTCCCTATGAAAATATTTAATTAAGGATGCTTGGTTAAAATTATTGATATATTCAGAATACTCAATAGGCAAGCTTTTCCTTAAAATTATTTTCACAGTGGTAGAAATCCCTGGAAATCAGTTGGTCAAAAGTAGAATTATGTTCTAAGTCTACCATATCTTTGATAAACATGCATAGTCCCTAAACATTTAATGCCAAGATAATTCACTTCATCACTTTATTCATTCTCTCTTATATTGTAATCTATCTCTATTTTTAACCTATCTAATGTCCTCTCCCTTGTACACCACATGCATGTATTATATATACATATTTGTGAGAGATTTTATATAGATGTAGATGTTATAACAAAAAAATAAGCAAACAAATACCCTTCCCTACATCCAATGTCCCATCTATTACTTTCCACCATCCATTTTCCTTCAGGTCCAAATCCTTCAGAATAATAGTCTACAATCCCTATCTCTGTATCCTGAACTCCTCTACATTTTCCCAGACACTTAACTTTTGTTTCCATATAGTCATTTGGGTGAAATTTATAGCAAAGTCACCCATTATATACTTACTGCCAAATTCAATCAATTTTTTAAAATTAAATTTTATTAAAAATTACCCAAATATATTTTCCTTTGGAAAAATTAGAACTTTACAAATAAAAGTAAAAAGCCTTTTGACCATACCTCTAAATCCTATTGTCCATACCCCTACTCAAAGTGACAACTCTTATGAGTTTTATAGCATTCTAGACCTCTAGAAATAATACTTCAGGCTTCCCCATCTACACAGAGAAGGCACTATTATTTTGTATATTTTTGTGTAAATCATATCCTATCTGTGACTAACCCATTCATTTCCTTTGTCTGCTTTTCTGTTGAGTTACTTTTCTTTCTTATTCATTATATCAAATCTTTGTCTGTTATAGGTGTTGCAAATATCTTGTCCCAGTGCACCACTAGATATTTAACTTTGCTTATGGTGACTTGTTTAATCTAAAAAAATTATTTCCAATAGATAGAGTGTTCAATACATAAAGCTATTTACTTGACCTCAAAAATAAAAATAGTGGCAGTCAGAAGATACCTGCTTTTGATATACAGAGTTTTTAATATAATCAAATTCAATAATATTTCTCTTTGTGATGACTTTATATGAGTCATTCAAAAGATCTTTTTTACCCCAGAGTTACAAATGTATCTGTCTATATTTTACTCTTATTACTTTTAAGTTCAATTTTTAAAATTCGTTAAAACAGCTAGCATGTAGTGTGTGAGGTGGTCCGGCTGCACTCTTTTCCACATGAATAGGTAATAGTTTCCATACTGTTCACAGAAACATCCTGTCTTCCCAAGCATATTTTCAGTGTCAATGCTATCATGTAATAAATCCCACAAATTTGTTTCAATTCTGTGTATTGTTTTCTTCCAATTTATTTTATCTATTTTTGTGTCACTATTACACAGTTTTAATCATTTTACCTTCACAAAAACAATGTCTGTTTTACATTGACTTGGTTTTTCATTCTAAACTCTCCCAAATGAAGAATCCTCAGAGGACTTTAATTGGCATAGAACTAAGTAAGTTAATTGGAGGAATAAATGACATCTTTATAATGTTGAAGCTTTTATATGCAAATGTGAAACATTTTTCCAATTATTCAGGTGTTATGTTAAGTACTATAGTGTTTTAATTTTTATAAAAGTCTAGACTATTTCATAGTTTTGTTGTTAAGATATTTTGTGCTTTTTATTAATGTTTGAAATGAAATTTTTTCATAACATTTCCTAATAAGTTTTTTCAGATGTATATGAAACTACTAATTTTTTTAAATTGCTTTCATTAAGGTATAGTTTACATAAAATGAAATGAACACCCATTATCATTTCAGTGTGTTTTGGCAAATGTATATGCCCGTGTAACCACCAGCACAGTTGTGCAGCGCATTTTCATTATTCTGCAAAATTCTTGTGCCCTGAGCTAGTCAGTTACATCCTGGTCCCAGGAAAAACATAATCTATTCTCTGTCACAATAGAGTAGATTGTTTTTTAGAATTTTAGGTTAATATAATTATATAGTACTTACTCTTTTGTTTCTGCCCCTTTTTGGACAGCACGTTGTGTTTGAGCTGTAACCATCTAATGACTAGTGGCTCATTCCATTGTATTGCAGAGTAGTATTGTCTGAACACACCACCAACTTTATTCATTCACTTGGTGGTGGATATTTGGGTTTTCCCAGTTTGGGGCTATTACAAATAAAGCTATGAAATTTTGCCTTCAAGTCTTTGTGTGGACATTTGTTTTCATTTCTTAGGGAAGTACCAAGGAGTAGATTTGCTAGGTCATATGGTAAGATAATGTTTAATTTTATTAAGAAACTGCCAAATAGTTTTCCAAAGTATTGTTGTATTTTATATTTCTATCAACAATGTATGAAATTACAGGCCATCCATACCTTCTCCAGTATTTGATAGTATCTGCCTATTTAATTTTAACATTTTGTATTGGGCATGTAGTGGTATCAGGTTTTAGTTTTATAGTTTTTCATCAAATTTGGAAAATTTTCAGCCATTATTTCTTAAATATTTTCCCCCTTCTCCTTCTTTTAGAACTACAATTGCACATGTGTTAACTGCTTGATATTATTCTGTAGAGATTCCTGATATTCCTATTAATTTATTTTCATTCATGTTACTCTCTGTGCTTCACTTTGTATATAGTCTATTAATATGCCTCCAATTCACTGATCTTTTCTTGTGCAGAGTTCAACCTTCTATTAATCCTATCCAGTGAAATTTTCAATTCAGATATTGTATTTTTTATTGTCATTAGCCATCACATATTTTTACATTTATTTTTCCACCTTTATTAAGTTGTAATTGATATATAACATTATATAAGTTTAAGATGTCCACTGTGTTGATTTTGTACACTTATATATTGCAGGATGATTACCAATATAGCTTAGCTAATGCCTCCTTCTTATCATATAATTGTCATTTCTTTTTTATGAGATCAGTGACAATCTACTCTCTTAGCAACTTTCAAGTATACAATACATTAATATTAACTGTACTCATGTACATTAGGTTACCCTAACCTTAGTAATATTATAAATGAAAGTTCGTAGTCTTTTGACCAGCATCCTCCCACCTACCCCACACTCAACCTCTAGTGACCATCATTGTGCTCTTCGTTTCTATGAGCTCAGCTTTTTAAGATTCTATGTATAAGTGAGATCATAAAATGTTTTCTTTCTCTGTCAGGCTTATTTCACTTAGCATAATGCTCTTAAGGTTGTCATAATATTGATTTTTCCTTCTTCTCATGATTGAATAACATTCCATTGTATACATTTATACCACATCTTCTTTATTCATTCATCCTTGAAGGACACTAAGGTTGTCTCCATCAGCTATTGGATCTTTTATTTACAAAAGTTCCATTTGCTTTGTCATTCTACCTTCCAATTTTTTCCTTTTATAGTCATATTTTTCTTTAAGTCCTTAACTATAAGGGAGATATTTGTAACAACTGCACTTACATACTTACTTATCTGGGTCACAATGTGGCGGCAGAGTAGAAGGGTAGTCGTGCATCTCCTCCCAGAACCAAACTGGAGGTACAACTAAAGAAGGGAACAGTTACCCAAAATAAACCAAAGACTACCTGAAAAAGAGATCTTTAACCAAGGATGGGAAAAAATGACCCCAAGACTGGTAGGAAGGACAGGGACATAAAAGGGGCCAGTTCTATTCACAAAGGTGGCAGGTAAGGTTGCAGCATGATTGTGGGACCTTCTCCTTGAGAGAAGAGAAGTGAGACCATACCTGAGCCCAAACACATACCACCAGTGCCAGGATCAGCCAGCCATGTAGAGCAGCTTGGCCCATGCTGTGCACAGCCAAGCCCAGAGGAAACAACCACAAACTGTGGAATGCTTGTAGCTTTAAATAGGTTGCCTAGGGCTGGATGTGGAGAGCACCTGACATTGGCTTACACAAGCCTCAGACAACATCAAAGCCATATCCAAAGGGAGAATACAGCAGGGAAGCACTAAATTCTGCTGAGCTGAATTCCACTTGGTTCTTTTTCACTATTATCATTATTTTTCTTCTTTTTCATAGCCTTTTTATTTTTTAATTTTTCTCCTATTTTTGTTGCTTTTTTTCCTAGCTCTTAATTTACTCATTTGTTTATTCCATTGTTTCCTTCTTGTTTCCTTTTCTTATTTTTGTTATTCTTTGCCTTGCTTTGTTCCTGTTTACTGTTTTCATCTTTCTATTCATTACTCATATTAGTTCTTTCTTTTCTCCTCTCATAATCATTTTGATTTCCTTTGTTCTTCTCATTCTTTTTCCTTTTTTCCCCTTTCTCTACTATTCCATTTCTCTTTCCACTTTTGTTATTTTTTGCTCTTTTGTCATGGATTTTGCTATTGTTGTTGGAGGGCGTTTTTTTTTGCATGTTTTGGTTTTGTTTTTTTGCATTTTATTGGTTTGTTCTCTCAGTACCTGTACAACAGTGTACAAGACATAGTGGTGTTGAACTTCTCAGTCAACAGTCTGGAGGTGAGATCCCATCAACAAATGGGCCAATAAGAATCAGGATCCAAATACAACAGGAGGCTCCACATAACCCACACAAACATTTCTAGAGCATCCAGCTCTGGTGATCATAGAAACTACACCACTGAGTGCCACAGAACTCCAACCATGTAAGGTCACCCCACAAAGACAATGAGTCAATACAAATCTATTTAACACATAGACACAAACAAAAAGAGACAGCTGAAATGGGGAGACAAAGAAACAACCTTCAAATTAAAGAAAAGCAAGAATATCCAGAAAAAGAGCTACATGAAACTGAGGTAAGCAAATTATCAGATGTAGAGTTCAAAGTAATGGTTATAAGGGTGCTCAAGGAACTAAATGAGAACTACAGACTCCAGCCAAGATGGAGGTGTAGGTGGACACACTATGCCTC